AGGAGCGTTTAGGGGGATATTTCATACCCAGAACACAGCATAATAGCTAAGCAGTTGTGACTGTAATAAATAAAGCTCAGGGAACCCATCCTTAATGAGACTCCTGGGTCTTTTAGCTCTATATTCTACCCACTCTCTGTATTCCGGGAACCTTTGTACTTGGCTTTCATTTTCTACATGATAGGTACCTACCAGTACTTGTTTCTGATTTTTAAGACAGAAGTTTTTTGAGACCAGGGTCTCTCTCCAGTTCTTTCTTGTAAAACCTGCCCAGGAGGTGTAGTAGACAGCAGACGTGAGTGAACAAGTGGAGGGAGAAGAGAGCCCCACATAAAGTTTCTATGTAAATGTTCTTTGCTCCTTTTCTACTTTACAATCAATCAGCAAATGTTCACTGATTGCCCAATGTGTGCAAAGTACAATTATGAAACAGTTGGAAGGGAAAGACACGAATGAGGGAAAGTTAGCAATCGAGATTCCTTTAACCCGTTACTTCTTTCATACCCATTTTTGAAGTGTGTGTGTATGTGTAAATATATGTGTATATGTATATATACATATATATTTACAAATACTATATGCATATATAGTGGTTTATAACCTTTTCCAATTTATTTTGAAACTTCAGATTATAGATAGAAGTAGTTGACTATATAGCTAATCCAGAACTATCCCTTATCCTTCTTCAGTGAGTCTGTTTATTAACTACAACACAGACACATCATTCCATAGCAAAGTTCTACTAAATGTCCTTTCAATCTGGAAATTTGGGCCTCACACTCTGTTTTTCAAAGGACATACTCATGTTAGTTTTAGTTCCTGCCACATTTGGACAATATTCTACATCGACAGCAATGTAAAAAAGTGGTATTGGTGTTGGTAATTCCAGTGTTTTCATGGAAGGATCTAGAGGAGGGGTTTCTTGGTAAACCTAAACAAGACCAAGGTCACCCCCTCAACCTTTGACTAATTCTTCATTGTACCTCCAAATAGTTTTTTGGGTGTTTTTTGTAAATAAAATCAATTCTAGGCTAGCACCAAAAGGTGGGGGCATTCAACTTTAACTCTCAGATTTTTAAAAAAATGTCTACAGTGACAAAAGCGCTGTGTGGATGATAGGGAGGATGCCAGATATAGCCACATCTCAGCCGTCTGATGTGACTCTTCTGTGAGATTTCCTGTCCTGACAATACCATTCGGTAGCCAGCAGAATTCAGGCACATGGATGGGACAACAGCCAGAGACTAAGTGCTTGCATCCCGGTGACCCCTAATTAACTTATGGAGAATCCATTATTTTCTTGCAGCACTCCATATATTTAATGCACTTGTATGAAAGCACCTCTGTCTAGATTCCCGCCTTCCTCTTCTCTCTCATTGTGTGTATGCAGGGGGGATTCTGCATGCTATACTACAAAGAGAATCAAATAAACCTGGCCCATAAATGGTTTATCAGCTATGACAGAAACACTAAGAGCATCTGAAAAGAATCAGTATCTGTCAGAATGTATTTTATCATCTGTGAGTAAATGGTGAGTCCGTTTAAAGGGCAAGCTACCCAGACAATTGTAGAGAAACTAACAGCATGTGTCTGTTACAATATAGGTTCTATGGTATTCATTTTGCACAGATCATACAAAGCCTTGGGTTTTTCCATGATCCTCTACTGCTTCCCCTCAGATGATGCCATCTGCTTTGATAGATGACCAAAGACTTGGACCTGGGCATTTTTGTTCTACCTGAGCTCCAAGCTCCTTGAAGGCAGGGGCTATGCCTTCATTTTCTTTTGTACTTTTTACAGTATATTTTATGGAAAGTGCTTAGTTGGTACTGAGTAATAGCTCGCGATTCTGGAAGATAAATGTCTCTTCTGGACATTCAGAAGAGGGGATTGTATCTCTGAAATTTAGCATTCCAGAAGGCCTATATAATGAATCAGATTAAGAAAGCCAGGCATCCAAAGAGGGTGCCATTGACAAGATCAGGGAGGAGGGGAAGTGTGGTGCTTGTGACTTGCAAGGAAGAGTCTGGAATTCTGGACAGGAATTGGACAATGCCAGTTCATGGGACTAAGCATTTATATATATATATATTGTAGTGCTGAGGCGAGAACTCAGAGCCTCATGCACGCTAAGCACAAGCTCTATCACTGAGCTCAAGTCCCTATGCTTTATTTGTACCACATTCAATGGAAGGCTTTTGTTACAAGGGAGTCTATGTGCATAAAGAATATGGACTAGCATGGAAGCCCTCTAGGAAGTGAAGAAATCCTTTCCATGGTCCAGAACTAAATTGGCAGACCAGGATGAGAGCAGAGGTGACACAGAAAAGTGCAGAGGTTGGAGACCCACTGTGAACAAGAGATGATCTCCCCTAGCCCCTCCTAAAACTGAGACAGTGAGTGACAGATGACCTTGGTATCTTCTTACTGCTTTGGGAGTCTGAAGGTGTAAATGGTTTCTGAGACACTGAAGGCAGGATGGTTGAGTAGAGTTGGGGGAGATGTCTACACACATACTGAAATTTATTGTCCCTCAAACTCCTTTAATAAGCAAAATTCACTTGGTGTATATTTATGAAAGAATGTATGATTCTCCCAAAATTGTTCTTTGAAGTTACACCATCTGTAATTTTAATTTTGCCATCTTTTAATTTCTATTGTCTGAGAAGTGATGTGGTTTTTCTTGCCATCTCTCCCTTCTGTTTGCAACTTTACTGCTGTTGGAAAGAGGGCTTTGAAGCAGGGTCATAGTATGTCTAGATCTGTCATGTGCATCTAATACAGCTGTCCTCTGGTTTTCCTTCACTTCAATGACAAAAGCTGCCATTATTAATCAAATGAAGACTTGATGAGACTACTAGGAAGTCCGGATGTGTAGCACACACCCGGAGTCCCAGAACTTGGGAGGCTGGGTCAGGAGGATAGCAAGTGTGAGACCAGCCTAGGCTATATCACCAGACCCTGTCTCCAAACAAACAAAAACAAGGGGGAAAGAGCATTATTATATTTATGTATTATTTTATTATCTTCAATTTTTAATTTTTACATTATAAGGCCAATTGTTTACAATTTTTAAAACTTGGAGTTCTTGATTGGTGATTTCAGCACAACTTAATACCATATTGTTTTTTAAAACATCAAACTTTTAGAATTCCATTAAGCATTAATGTCAAGATGTAATGGACAAGAAAAGGTATTTTTAAAATTACAGTTACTGTTACTGTCCATATAGTAATACCAGTGTTTAGAGTTAACTTCCCTAGGTACTGACAGACTAATACAAAATAGAAGTGATAAAATGCATGTAATGTCCAGCTCTCAAATTAGCATTAAAGATATATATTTTAATACCAAAGGGCTATGTTCTAAGCAACAGAATTAAATTTTGAGAGAAACATGGATAATTTCAAAGTATCATTTAGAATTCTAAATCATAACACAGCCCTCTAATTTCCCTTCACCTAGTTCATCATACCGTTTTCGTGTATGGGTTTTGAAGAACAAGTTTCCCTTTTCTATTAGTAAGTGTTATAATCTAATGACCTCAATTAGAGAGAGGAATAAAAAGGCTCACAAATCTAAAAATAACTCCACTATCTATGCAGAAAGGGTCCGTTTTTTGTTTCCACTGTCCCAGCTGATGTTTAAGTGGCAATCGATCAGTGTAATGTCTGGCTCTCATTTCTCATAAATGAAGGGCTGTGGCTTTAAGTAATCACCGGCTGCCTGTGCCAGAGGCAGAAGCTGCAGTATCAGCTTCTGTGGGGAGAGAGGAGTCTGAGGCGTACGGTAACCTGCAGGACTGGAGGGAAGGCCACTGGGGCCAACCCTGGTAGAGCTTTGAATGTAGGCAGACCTGACTGGTGGGAGGCGCAGCCACCTGTGCACTTCTTGGACAGTGCAGGGGGTGGGGGAGTTGGAGACAGAAGCTGGAAAATGGGCTGCCCCAGCAGCAAAATGTGCCTCTCTCCTCCATGTGCAGCAACAAGGGTAATTAGTGTTTGTTTATAGTGCTTTTCTGGAAGAATGTCAGGGACTGCTGCGGATGGCGTCTGGAACCAGAGTGCTTTGAATGGGAAGCAACTTTTGCCTGCAGAGGCTGGTCTCATGATCTCTGCAACACTCTGGGACGCTATGGGAGCCCAGTCTAGGGTGATCCCAGAAAGGGCATTTACAAAGAGCTCTGAAATTCTGTGACTTCTCAGTTCTACCCTGGTTCTAGAGACACTACCTAATGAGGAACTCTTCTAAGGATTGTGTTTGTATATGTGGATGTGTTATTGCTACGGAGTTGCTGGTAACTTAAAACTTATTCTTTATTGAAAAATTGGTATTTGCTTTTTAAAATATGGAAACAGCTGCCTGGTTTCCTTTAGTTCATTTCTGTAGCATCTATTTAGAAGTATACCTACCATGGTCCTATGAAACTAATGTGTAACTGAGTAAAATCAAGTGGATTTCATTTTTAAAGGATTAATTTTTTTGTTGTAGATTTATAACAAACTTTTTTGTAGTTTAAAAGTACAGGATTGGCCTTGTAAGAAAACTTTTATTTGCGGATATGGGACAAAGTCCATATAAGTGCCTATGTTTAGAACATTAAATATTTACCTTAAACTGATTAGGCCTTTATTGTGCTTGGAGGAGAATGCATTCCGTCTTAAGTACAACATGCATTCGCTGAATGGTTCTATGGCTCCTCTGAGAAGCACCAACTCAAAGCAAATATTTTTAATTGAGCCATTCAGTTCCTAGTTCCTCAAAGGAAAGTTTCCCTAGGACCTGAGAAAATACTGATTCTCAAACCCTAAATTCCCTTTGCAGCAAAGGACTGTTTTGTTTCGTTTTGTTTTGTTTTTAACAACACAAACTGTTAATTTAAGTGATTCGTATCTCAGCTTCTAGATTCTGGGTCTCATTTTCCTAGTGATAACAAATGTATACCTGACTGAAAGGGACCCTCTTTAAAACATTAGTAACTTGATGTGTGTTTTCCACAGCGGGAGGAAGCGTTGAAGCAACACAAAACCCTCTCTGAAGAACTTGTTAACCTCCGGGGAGAGCTAGGTAAGAGTTTTTGCCTCCACCCTTGGTAAAGTTTGCTGAAATTGGAAAATGTGGTCTTCCCTTTTGCACCGTGGCTTGCGTGCTGGCGGCTTTGATGCTCCTCCTCCGGTATCTGTACAAACATTATCAACATTGCTTTTGAATCTTGGCAGCTGACCTCAAGTTCACAGAATTCCTGGCACTGACCTGACTAAGCTAACAGAGCTTCTGACGACCAAAGCATGCCCCTTACTGAATACACAGGGACAGACAGAGTTTGTAGTTTATAGGATTCCTGTTGAATAATTCCATCATGGGCTTCTTTTTTTTTTTTTTTTCTGAAACCACTTTTCATATTAAAGAGTGTTGAGAAAACACTCTCTCTGGTAATGGTAATTATGTTCCATGTCCCAGGGATGGTTTCTGGGTAGTTTATACTAACAGTTTAAAGAATGCTGCCTGTTAGGACCACTCATCTGAACAACGCCTATTCTGTGCTACTCAAACAATCTGGGTAAGCTGAGAGGAATATCTACCCAGCTCCAAGGGGCAGAGTGTCTACATAAATGCTGCTCTTCGCAGTCCAGACTGTTCTTGTTTGTCCTATAACTCCCTGGTTTGATGGACAGAGACAGTATTGTCTTTTCTACTCCAGTTACTCTGTGGGAGTAAACCAGCTGCCCCATGGTCCCCTGTCTATGGCTCCTCAGCCTAAGAATTGGCTTCCTGCTTTAGCTTCAACCAGACCTGTACACCAAAAGGCAACTCTCTTTGTCCTTCTTAACTTTCTTTGTGAACAATCTGTGCCAAAGTTATTCATAGGCATAAGTGCTTTTTTAAAAAAATATTATTTTTATTTTATGTGTATGAGCATTTTGCTTGCATGTATGTGAGCACCCCTGTGCCATGCAATGCCTCGGAGGTCAGAAGAGGGCTTCGGATTCCCCTGGAACTGGAGTTAAGGACAGTTCATAGCCACCATGTGGGTGCTGGGAATCAAGCCCAGGTCCTCTGCAAGAGCAGTTAGTGCCCTTAACCACTGAGCCATCTCTCCAGCCCCAATAGGTATAAGTCTTTAAAGATAACAGAACTAAAGCAAATGATGTTCTGAAAGAATCTACCTGTTTTTCACTGGATGAAACAGGAGTTTAAAAACTAGGCTGGAATATTCTTAAAACACTAACAACCCTCGCCCAACCAAGGGAGAGGTCAAGGGCCAGTGCATGTGAAGTCAAGGCTGTGTATTTCTCTCTCCTCTTGTATCTCCCAGTGGGAGTTGAGACCAAATTCCTGGCTAACCATTTGAATTCATAATACATCGCCAAGACAACAGTGCTGACCTTAGGTTACAGAAAGGAAGAACCCTTTGTGGAAAAGTAATTTTAAAGACAGATGAAGCTGTAGAATCCCAGAGATTCGAGAGTTCTTGCAAAGCAGTTAACACAAGCTGCAGTGTGGGCGACCCAGACCTTAGACACTTTGAAGACCTTCCTGCTTTAGCTTCAATCAGACCTGTACACCAAAAGGCAACTCTCTTTGTCCTTCTTAACTTTCTTTGTGAACAATCTGTGCCAAAGTTATTCTAACTTGACTTAGCTGCTGCCCTTTTGATTACCCAAATGGCCAGCTTGATTTGCCTTTGCCTGAGCCTTGAATACTGTAATGAATATGAAGCTGGGAGCTCAGGAGAGAATGCTTTTGTGAGTTTCAGAGTTCATTAGAACCCAATGGAGGGGGAAAGGAACCTGCTTCATGTTTCAGGTTTCCACTCTCTCCACCACAAGGCAGGACCAAGAAAGAAGGGGACACTGGGCTCATTCACTCTGCTTGAATGACCATCCCCTTTTCACAATTAAGCAATTTAAATTGGGCCCAGGTCCTCAGCATCTCCAGTTAGTCATAGCGCCTGTCAGGAAATAGCCATCTGTTTGTACTCCCTCTCTCCTGTTGTCTGATAAGCATAGTGTGCCCTGGTGTGCTTTTCCTGCCGCTGCTGGGTTGTCAGGATGCTGTAGGTGGCTTGTCTATACTGCTTTGTCACCCTAGCCTGGACTCAGGAAATGGTGTCATTGCTGCTGCAGAATCAGGCAGACTTGCTCAGGTACCAACTGCCAGCATAAGGCATTTGGGAAAGAGTTTAGTTTGGTCATCAAAGACAAAAAAAGTCCTTTAAACACGTGTGTTGAAGCTGGCCAGGAAGGATACTGCCAAAGCTTTCAGCTGGATTAGTGTAGCTAGAGCCAAGAGGGAAAAAGATAGAGTTTACATATTAAAGCTTAAAACTCTTTTCAACTTTGAGGCAATAAAATGCCTGGGACTTTGTTGTCACAGTAGCTGCAGATTCAAGTAGTTCAGTGGCCTGAGCTATCCTGTCACATCACTACTGTGCCAATTTCATTCAGTCTAAAATGGTAGTAATTCTTGTATACCCCAAGGGTGATTCTGAGGATCACATGAAGTAATGATACATTGTAAAGTGTCTAGTGCCAGGTGTTATTAATGTAATTAATGTACATAATAAATGTAAATAATAGGTATCCAGGTACATGCAGTTTGGGGTTTTGGTCATGGTGCATGTCTGTAATTCCAGTACTCAGGAGGCCAAGACAGGGAAATTGCCACAAGTTTGAGGCCAGCCTGAGTTAAAGGCCAGCCTGAGTAACACAGTGAGATTTTGCCTTTAAAAAACCCAAATAGGGGCTGGAGAAATGGCTCAGCGTTTAAGAACACTGGTTGGTCTTGCAGAAGACCCAGGTTCAAATCCCAGCACCCACATGGCAGCTAACAACTGTCCGTAACTCCAGTCTCAGGGGATCCGACAGCCTCTTCTGACCTCTGCGGGCATTGCATGACATGGGTGCACTTACCTACATGCAAGCAATACACACATACACATAAAATAAAAATAATAAATAAAATTTTTAAAAAACCCAAATAAGCAAAAATCCTAACCTTTCCTGCTTAAAAAAAAAAAAAAGAGTATTACAGCTGTGTAGTAATTAACCACATTGCCATTTTGTGAGGGCATAAACCATACCGTGGGAAGAAATAATAGTAAGTGGATGAAATATTAGAAATCCCTCAGGACAGGCTTCTCACACTCAAACACAAGTGAGACCCAGTCAGTCCTTTTGAGATACACTGACACTTAGTGTTGTTTTAGTAGCGTAGGTTTTCAGTCACATAGTCCTAGTTAGAAGTTGCTTAACGCTTTTGAGTACAGTTTTCTCATCAGTGATACAGTCTGTGTGCTTTGCTGGATTGGTGTGGAGCTTGAATAGAGTAGTAGTATATATGAAGTGGTGGTGCTGGACCAACCCATCACAGGCAACCCAAGAAGAGAGCTGCTGTCATGTACTAACCATCACTCCATCGTCAAAGTATCCACCTTTTCCCTCCAGAAAAACCTGGGGCTATTGCTGTCGCTCTTCAACTAATCTTTCTTTACATTCTCTCTTGAAAATTTAAACAAGGTTTCCAAACTACTAAGACCTGCAGAGAGTGACAGACAACTCATAAACCCAGAACACTGAAACTCAGCCTGTGCTTTTTTTGCCTTTCAGAAGCCGGTAGTCTCCATTTATCCCATTTATCCACACTGTTGCCCGACTTTCTGGCTTTCTCATTTAACACTCTGAGCTTGAACTCTGCCCAAGCTAAACCTGCCTTGCAACCAACATGTTTCTCCCTTCTGAGCCACACCCCTTCTTGGAATGACTTTGTTCTCTTCAGGAACCCCTCTGTATCCTCAGAGCAAGCCTGGAGGCTCCCCTCACTCCAGGGGTCCTGATACCCACCCACTGTTATTTACCTTGTCTTGTGTTTCTCTGTTATCTTCAGATAGTACAGTCCTTCATTGAGGAGAGTCTTTCCAGCTTCCTGTGGGAAAACCAACATAAGGAGCTGATATTTATTGGCATTTAAGGGTTTAGAGTTCTTTTTTGTTTAAGACCAATATATGAAAAGGAAACTTTCGTGGCTGGAGAGATGGCTCAGCAGTTAAGAGCACTGACTGCTCTTGCAGAGGACCTGGGTTCAATGTCCAGCACCCACATGGTGGCTAAGAACCGTCCTTAATTCCAGTTTTAGGGGGCTCTGAAGCCCTCTTCCGACCTCCACAGCATTGCACGACATGGGTGTGCTCACATACATGGAGGCAATACACTCATACACATAAAATAAAAATTTTTTTAAAAAAGGAAACTTTCAACAAGACAACACCCTGTAGTCTCACTACCCTGGCATAACTTTTACATATGTGAAGTCCCTTGTCTTTATTAATTTGAATATATATAACTTTGTATTGTGATTATTTCAGGAAAGCATAATTATATACAGCAGGATTCTTGTGGATTTTGTTGTTGTCCTCATCGTTGCTGTTGTTGTTGCTTTTGGTCTTTTGGAGACAGGGTTTCCCTATAGCCCCAGCTGGCCTGGTACTTGGCTTCAATCTCACAGAAATCCACCTGCTTCTGCCTCCCAAGTGCTGGAATTAAAAGCATGTGCCCCCACACCCAGCACAACAGGATTCTTGTTGTTTCATCAGATTTTTTTTATTTGAGTCAGGGCCTCCATATGTAGCCTAGGCTGGCCTTGAACTCACAGTCCTCCTGCCTTTTCCCATCAGTTTTAACAGACATGTATACTATATAATCTATTCCTCACACGTCTTCAATCCAGAGTTCCCTTAAGCCTTCCGTTCCTTAGAAGCAAGCACTGATCTGACTTTTCTATGATCAACAGTTAGCTTCATCGCATCTAGAACTTTTTAAAAATTGTAGCCTAGGCTGGCCTTGAACTCACAGTCCTCCTGCCTTTTCCCATCAGTTTTAACAGACATGTATACTATATAATCTATTCCTCACACGTCTTCAATCCAGAGTTCCCTTAAGCCTTCCGTTCCTTAGAAGCAAGCACTGATCTGACTTTTCTATGATCAACAGTTAGCTTCATCGCATCTAGAACTTTTTAAAAATTTTTTACAAAAACTTTATTGAGAATTTCATACTTGCATATAAGGT